CCCCTCCTTTTTGTTACACCATATCATTATGTTTTGTGATTATTTTCGTTATTTGTGTCCTGTGCTTTTTAAAGTGAAACTTCTTAGGCGGTGGGTGGTCTGATATTTGGACGAGAATGGAGACTGATTCATAGACTGAAGACGCGTCATGTTTTGGCGAATTTCGTTACAGGAGAGAGAAAAAATATATAACGTAGAAGAACAGAGAAAGACAGCCAATGACAATGACAGCCGACGAACAATTGACACAAACCAAGGATTATAAACTATTATTGTCAAGTGCCGATACCTTTGTTTCGTCACTACAGATTTTTATTTCCCTTCGACTTTACCCCCGACTCTAGGGTTGCCAACTATTAATTTTTGAAATCCAGGACAAAGCTGTAAACAAACAAGGACACTGAGTAACAAAAAAGGACACCTACTCATATAATGTTTTATCAATTTTAAACAAAATAAATTTAAAAAATACTACTGACTAGAAAAATGAAATAAACATTTCAAAAACCAAAAAATGAAGCTTACTTTCAGCATCCGTTTTTCCGTCAATCCGATGATCCGGAAGTATTGGCCTAGTATTTTGGCGCCAAAATATTGGACAAATGGGAATACTTCCGGATCATCGGATTCACAGAAAAACGGATGCATGAAAGAAAAGAAGCTTTACTTGCGTCGTTCGCAAATGACAGTGCGCAACAGTGCAATGTTGTCGGATGTCATCATAAATAGTAAAAACATCTTTTATTCTATATTGTTTGAGCAACTGTCTAAAATCCAGGACAAAATGCGTCCTTCTTAAGGGCTCGGAAGGACGAAGGACAAATCTATTAAAATCGCTCGAAATCCAGGACGTCCTTCCTAATACAGGACGGTTGGCAACCCTACCCGACTCATACGCTAAGTCTAAAAGTTGTATGAGGGGGGAAAATTAATAAGTTTCACTTCTACCGTGTGTAAGGAGCTGCACATGATTTTTTTTTTTTTCCTAAATACGTACGTAGGTACTAAAAAAAATTCCATGCCCATATAACATACGTCATTTTCGTTGAAGTCAATGGTCATTAAACACAATTACTAATAAGTCGTTATTTCGAATAGGTATTGTAATATTGCTTTGACGATTTCTATTGGGAAACCTGTTATTGTTTTCGGTTTATTATTCGTCGAAAAAAAAAAACTGAAAATTAATCTTTCCGTGGGTTATTTATTGTTCGTCAAATAATAACGACCCATTGATTGAGAGCAATAAAAAAAATATATAATATAATACGTGCCTTAACCAACCGCAGTAATTATCACCTACCTAATTCTTGGTAAATGTTATCAGTTTAATTGCTTACTCGTGTTATTGATTTCGTGCTATTTTCAGATTAGAACTATACCAATTTTTTTCCTTTGAATAAAATTCTAAAATTTACAATATTACCTCTGGCATTTTTGGAGAACACCTCAATGGAACTTTAGTAACAGTTAGTACAAATTGAAGACAATAATTGTGGGGGCTACAATTTAGAACTCTTTCTCTTTGAGATTTGTTTTAATATCCATTTTCAAAATTCAGTTATTTTCTTTGAATGGCCATTCATTTTCCATTTTACAATTGTCCATAAATTTGTGGAAATTCTATTGACCACCTTACACAGATGGAAACTTCTCGTTTTTCCTGGAAATTCCATCAAGCAACATAGGGCCGCCATTGTCCCTAATTATTCGCGTCTGCGGTGCGACAAGCGTTTACTTTCCCTGCGCTATTGTTCTCGTAATAGACTTTGAAGGAATTCGTATATTCTCTACAGTAGGCGAATACTACCTGTGCGCTTTATCGGAAAATTTCACAATTAACGATTATTTTAAGGCTTTTGATGTTATTATTCTCCTTAACATTTTGATCAATAGCTTTTTGAACTGATAATGGATCGATGGCAGGGCCAAATTAAAGTGACATTTGGATGGATTGAAATGTTGGAGTAGAGGTTGATAGTCAATAAACTGGTTCAACCTCAAACGAAACTTCATTATATGAAGAAGTTCCCTTTAGTCCAAGCAACCAGAATTTAATGCATAGATCATGGTGTAAATCCAGACGATTATGCTTTGGATTTGTGCCCCAGCAGGTCTTTCCACAGATCCTGCGGCAGTTCCAAAGGGATAGTTTTCCCAGTTCCAGCTTAGAGTTTTGTTCAGGATGACCGCAGCTACTTAATATTACTTCACTTAAAAGTGACACTATTTCTAGTCTACTCGAATATTCGGGGGTACCAGATTATCGAGTTTTCTTCTCTTGGTAAAGGGTACTATGGTCATTTTGTGAGGATTAATTGTAATTTTGGATCATACAATCAACCTTTTGCCACAGGAGTACGATTCAAGTACTTTCCTCAAAAATGAATTAAAAACTATATTTATTGAGTAGGTAGCTACAATTTGTTTATTTTTTATTTATCTTATACTTAAAAATGCCATACCAAAACATAAATGCACAATTCTCATCGCTTAAAATTAATAACTTTCAAGATAAGCCACCACTACTCGTGTGTTTTAATATAATACAGTCCTGACGAAATTATTGCTTAGTTGGCCAGCGATCGAGTCGGTGGATAGGTATTGTGTTACCGTATTTGAGTTCGTATTACGGAAAAGCCGGCGATTGTGTAACATATGTTTTACTGTATGACGTGTGCTTTTTGTTAAGTGAGCAGAAAAAACTGTTATGGAGAAGAAGGAGGTAGAGGAAGATGAGCAGGCAGCTGGCCCATCATCTGAAACGCAATCGACTCCAGTCCGGGTAGTTCGAATTACTCAGTTTGTCTACGTAAGAATTGCTTCTTTTTTTTTTGTAAATTACTCAATATTTTGGATAACTGATCTTGATGTTCATTACTTTCGGATCAGACAAATTGCCTCGAAGATACCGAATTGTACCTCAGTCAGAAGTCAATATTCCAAGTTTTAAATGTCAAACTTTCATTTTAGGACCATTTTTTTTTAATAAGAGGATATTGTTGGCTAATAAATGTTATACTCTATAGAGTAATTTCAAGGGAATTATATCAGAGGCTTCTGCGAGATGTGTGTGCTTTGCACTAATGGAGTCACATTCAGGAAATGGTATTTGCTTATGGGGATGTAGCACTCAAATTTAACTAATTACAGTATATATTTTGCAGAAAAACAGCAAATCGTTACATTGCGGTATGGCTATATGTTTCTCAATTATTATTCAGTCATCATCCATTAATCAATTTTTGTGTTGGTTTCAAATCTATGGAATCCCTGCAACTTCTTATATGGACTTATTCAGTCTATCTAGCACCACCATTAGTACATGTCATTAATTTTTGTTTAAAAGGAAAGTCATTTTCCCTCAGAATTAAAATATGCTAATGTCAAATTAATATTTAAAAAGGGAGATAAAAAAGTTCTCCAAAATTACAGACCTATATCTTTCCTATCAACCATTAGCAAAATATTTGAAAAAGTGATTCATTCAAGGCTTACCAGTTTCTCGGAGCAACAGAGGGTCCTGTCAGGCAAACAAAATGGATTTAGAAGGGAAAAGAATACAATAAGAGCAGCATATCAGGCTCTTAATAAAATCCTCGAATTTTTAAACAACAATCAAACCACTGTGGCTGTTTAGATCCCTCAAAAGCATTTGACAGCGTAGATCATGGTAGGTTGATAAAAAAACTGGAACTACTTGGACTTGGGGTGAGGGAAACTGAACTTAAACTTTTTGTGTCGTACTTGACAGACAAGCAACAATGTATCGAGGAACTGGATGACACTGGAATGAACATAAGATCAAATTATTCCAAAATATCATAGGGAGTTCCGCAGGGTTCGGTTCTGGGACCTTTACTCTATATCCTATACACAAATGAAATTGGAAACATAATAAAAAGTGAGGTCGTTACGTTTGCTGACAATACAACCATTATTTGTAGCAACAAGACACAAGAACAAGTAAAAAAAGAAGTTGCAAAAAGTATCTCAACACTTGAAGAGTGGTATAAAGATAATAACTTGCTCCTTAATGTCAAAAAGACCCAACTAATACATTTCAAGCCAAAGCAAGAAAATTTGTGTGTAGGATATGGAGGGGAGGACCTAGTATCACAGGATTGTGTGGAATATCTGGGTATGGTGCTAGATGGGAAGCTAAACTGGACAGAGCACATTATAAAACCTTCTGGAACATTGAGCAGATATGTTTATACTCTCAGAATGCTGAAAGATAATGTTGACTCGGTTGTGTCGCACTCATCTTACCATGTTTTTGTGCAGTCCAGAATACGGTATGGGATTGTTTTCTGGGGAAACTCAAGTGATGCTGCAAGGATTTTAAAACTACAAAAAAGATGCCTAAGAGCCGTACTTAAACTAAAAAACAGAGACAGTTACAGGGAACACTTTATAAATAATAATGTATGTACACACTATCTATAATCTATACATCTTGGAAGGCGAATATCATTTATTCTTAAAACTCAAGATCTATGTGAGAACTCAAAAATAAATCATAACTACTCAACAAGGAATAAACAAAACCTTACATTGAACATTGCACGCTTTACATTCATCCAGAGGAGTGTCAAGTACAGTATCCTGAAGATCTGGAATAAACTATCTGTTGCTTCTAGGAACCTACCCCAAAAGCTGATAGAAACAAAACTTTAAAAATTCTTAAACACAAGGGCCTATTACACAGTCAATGAGTATTTTGAAGATCCAGTGGTTAAGTCATTTGGATAAGTGTTTATGCGCTTTTCTGCCAACAGATCTCAAGTTCTAGTCAAATTTTAAATCCTCGTTATTGGTTTTTTTTTCTGTTTTTTTATGTATAATTAGTGGTATATGACAATATGTCTTTATTTGTAATTTTTTTTTATTTTGAAATGCTTCTATGTATGATCGCATTTGTAAAAAATCGAAAAATAAAGTTCTATTCTATCCTATGATCATGAATCAGTTTTGTGAAATATTATTATTTTTTCCAGACTAATAGTGGACCCGGCCACGGTACCAACCAGTCACAACAGTACTACCCTGGTGGAGTAGCAGGATATCCTCCTCAACCTTACCATACCATGCAAGGCCCTCATCCAGTATCTAGTCCGACACATCTGGGTCATTCGCCGCCTCCTAATCCTACCTTCTATAAAGTAAGTACTACTTTTTCTAACCTAAATTACAAGCAACTAAATATATGTACTATTTAGGACGAAAGAACCCAAAGGCAGCACATAAAACTGAAAAAGAAGCTGCAAGAAAAAAACCAAAAAGGTCCCGAGCTATCGCCCAGAAAAGACCTAGTCAACGGCCTAAAACGAACCTCGGCCGGTACTAATAGCAAAGAAAAAGGCATGAACAGTGTAGGAACTAGCGAAGACGGCGAAGAAAGTAGCGTGCCTGACGAGGAAGACTCGGTGCAAGTCGTTACCGATTTGTTATCGTCTGTGCAAGCTCCCAAGGTACTAGAACTGAATTCGCGCAGCGCTTTGCTGCAATGGGCGCCTCCTCTGCGCCTATCGGAATCGGCCAGCAACGATAGCGGTACCAACGAAATCGACATTGCCGAGAGCGATTTGCGTTACGAGGTACTTTTGTGCGACAAAAGTCGCGATGCGTCGCGCGAAATGAAATTCAAGTCGATTTATAATGGAGCTGCGCATTCTTGTCGAATCCAGGTAAGAATTTTTGCCTAATTGTATTGTTTTCACATTTTGATTTTCAACATGTTCATAATTTGAAATATTATCGGCCCTTGATTTACTGAATAATTTTCCCAAGGACAATCAAAACTTCAAAACACATCAAGTTTTGATTATTAACGGCTCTTTACTTGATTGATTGATTTATTTGATCAAAAGCAGCAAGGCAAGGTTTAGTGATTCCCTCTGCGGGCTTGCCGTCGAAGTAGAGTTTATCTATGATTTATTCCTGAGTGTCCCTTTCTTCTGCTGCCTTTGTCTTCATTATCTGGTGTATATATTTCTTGCCTGTGTCTCATTTTCTTCTTGATGTTGTCATTTGGTCTAGGAGTATTTTGGTGGTCATGCCATCTATGTCCAGGTCTATCATTACTTGTATCCTCCTAGACCATCCATCTCTGGCATATTGCAACAGTATGCTCCACTGAGTCCACCTTTCTGCAGTACACACATCTGTCATCCGTCTTGCCTATTCTTTGGGTGTAAATTCTGAAGGACCTGTGTCCGGTGAGTATTTCATGAAGTGAAGTAGTCGATGTGTGGGTGCTTGCAGAATAGCCATACACTTATATCTGGTATCAGGTGTTTAGTCCATTGTCCCTTTGTTGTATTGTTTTCCCACATTGTTTGCCTTCGAGTTTGCCTTCTTCGAATCTTCCTGTCTTCCTCCATCTTCTTTGTTGCTAAACTGATTGCTCTTTTTTCCACTTTATCGATGCATGCCTGTTCTTCGAGAGTCAAATCCAGTGGTGGTATCCCAGTAATAACCTGTCGGGCTACGTTCGACGTAGTGCGATAGCTGCACGCCACCCTCAATAGGCTCTTTCTCTGAGTGCGCTACATGACCTCCCGGTAGTTCCCTATTTCCAGTGTCCGGTGCCAGATGAGTGCCCCGTATAGGATTGTGAATGGCATCACTCCGTACAGCATTATCCTTTTAATTGTGACTGGTTCTTCTAAGTTTGGCAGAAGTCTAGATATTGCTGTCATTTTTGTGGTCGCTTTTTTGGGTACTTCTTCCAAGGTTGTTATGTTATTGGATTGAAACACGTAGGTATAATTTATACTCTTTAATAAGTTCAAATAAAAGAAACCACAATTCTAGAGATCATACATCAAATCTGTTTTTCAGCCAAGGTTCAACCTCACATGTCAATCGTCTAAAATCAGTTGCATCTAGAATCGGCTGTTCTCAAACAATTAAGTTATTATGTTGTAAATCAATGACTACCGACAAATCCTAAATTATAAAAATGCAACAATAAAATGTAACTTTCTTAATTATATGACATCTTTCCCCTCTTAAAAATAAAGTTAAAGATGTGTCTTTAATAAGTGACATAAGTAATCATTGAATTTTGCTGGTTTTTTAATGGTTCTACCCCTACTGCTCTTACATGGAGATGTCATGCTAGTTAGCTTATCCGCTGGAATATTTTGCTTTGTTTCAGAACTCTGTTTCTGATCGACTCTGATTTCTGAAGTGTCTGAATCAGGAAATGTCTCTCAATATGAAAATCGCTTTGAGAATGTTTTAAATGAACAGTATTTCTACGTACTATTTGGCCATTTTCCTTTTCTACCAAATATGACCTTAGTGCATTCTCAACCTTTCTTATGATTCTGGCAGGACTCCATGTTTTCCCCTCTGGAAGTATAACATTCTCATCATTTTGGAAGTCGTTTCTTGGCGTTGTTGACTTATCGTAGTAATCTTTGTATAATTTTCTTTTATTTTCCAGCTCCACTTTTTCACTCTCAAAATCAACTTTTTCTGGAATCAAAAGCTTTGTCGAAATTGGTAACTCTGTCTTTAATCTTTTGCACCTCACTAGCTGAGCTGGAGATTCATCAATACCTGATACAGGTGTATTTCTGTATTCAAGTAGTGCTACTTGCAAATCCTCTCATTTCCTTAAAATATTCTTCGATGTTTGCACTGCTCCCCCAGCTCATCCATTCGAGCGTGGATATCTTGGACTAGAAGTGCTGAATTTGAAGTTCCATGCTTTGGCAAACTCTCTACACTTTTGTGCACTATATGGCATGTTGTCCGAGACTACTTCCGCTGGAATTCCAAATCTAGAAATTATGGTCTTCAAACAATATATTACAGTATCAGCAGTTTTGTCCTTCACTGGGATTATTTCCAACCCTTTACAGTAATAATCTATTAATACAAGGTCCACTGGCTACAATTTCAGAAGGCAAATTTGAGAAATCACGCAAAATCATTGGTTCTTTTTGTTACTGTTAGAAAATTTTTGTGAGTCTCCAAATACTAACAAATCATCAAAATAAATCAAACATCCAAGCATGTCACCAAAATTCTCTTGATTCAATTTTTGGAAGTACTCTGGGCACAATTTAAACCCATTGGTAATCTATTAAATTCAAAAGCACCGAAAATTGTACCAAAAGCACATAAATTACTTGATTCTTCATCAAGCTCTACTTGGTAGAACCCATCTTTGAAATCTAATACTGTAAAGTATGACTAATCTCTGAGATTTGCTCGCATTTCATCCAGAGTCGGAACAACGCAAAATTCTTTTTTCAAAGTTAAATTAAGATCACTGGGATCCAAGCAAAGTCTCAAAGATTTATCATGCTTCTCTATTATTACCAAGTTACTCAACCACTCAGTAGGCCCCTGATATGGAGAAATAACTCCTTTTTTAACCAATGCTTCTAAAGCTTCTTTCAGTCTGCTTTGAACTGCCAAAGGTACTCTGCGGAATGATCTTGCAACTGGCAAAGCATCTTTTTTAAGTTTCAGTACACATTTTTTCTGAAATTTTCCTAGACCTGTAAAAATATCAGAATTATTTTTGATAAAATCCTCTTTTGAGTCACAAATCACAGCATTTATTGTTGGTAGATATAAAACCCAAAATTGGTGAACTTTTTGTACCCTCTACTACCATAAATTTGAGATTTTTAACATTATTTTTGTAACTGCAATCCTCATTAATGATACCCAATGGAACAATCTTAAAACCTCCATAAACTTCTAATACTACTGTTGTTTTTTGGCAATCTTCCAGTTCTCTGAGAATTCCTGCCTCTCTAGTTGTTTGTTTGCTGCTAGGAGTATGTATTCTGGGGCTGCTCTAACTATATAGTTCCTTGACTGCCTATGGAGGAATACCATCCATACCAGAGGCCTTCCCGTATTTTATTTTGTCAGCCGCCCTCTTAATTTCAGCTAAACTGAAAAGGGGTACCTACTCCATGGGTTTCGATTTTGGTTGGTAGGCATTCGGACCTGTTTGGAAATAGGACCTGTAACTACTTTCCTGGTCTTTTCTTCTGTGAGCTTGAAAGGTGGGCTGCTGTCGCATAATCTAACTTGTGTAGGTGTTTCCTTAGTGTACAGTGACCGATTAACAGTCCCGTCACAATACTGATCTGGTTCCTCGTGATCTTTAGGATCTCAGAGGCTAATCTTGTCATAGGATAGTTCACCATTGCCTTACTGTGGTGTTGCCTCGGTATTTGATATTAGTGGTTTTTCTGTTCCTTTCGGATCCACTTGTACATGCAGCCACGTATCGAGGTTTTTGATATTTAGGGCCCATAAACTGCATTTCTGATCCTTGCCTGGCTAAGGATTCCGCGTTTTCATTGCCAGCAACGCCCTTATGGCCCTCCCTTACATTCAGAAAAATAATCCAACAAATCAAGATCTGGTAAATCATAATTTGAAGTATATTCGGTCCTTGATTCGCTCAATAATTTTCCCAGGAACAATCAGGAGTTCAAAGGAAATCAAATTTAGATAATTCACGGCTCTTAACTTGCTGTAAGATTTCCCTTGATTTCCTTATATTTCTCCCTAATTATCTTAGATTTCCTCGAATTTCTTCTTGATTTTTCTTGATTTGTACCTACACCAGATGGGGTAAACTGCAGGTGAGTTTTTGAACACTAAATTGCGGTTTTAGAATGATTTACCATGGTTTCCCCTGATTTCTTCTGATTACCAGCAAACAAGATATTGCCCAAGAGTTCCCATGATAACATACAACATAGCCCTAAATTCGAGGGATCAACCACTTCCCGAAATACGTGTACACTTGGCCCGAATTACCTCCGAAATACTTCGAAGTAGGTATCTAGAAATACCATCAAGCAATAAGGTTCGACTTAGAGGCAGTAACAAATCACTCAGTACAGTCGAGAATCCCAAAACTCACCAACTGTTGTACAGACTATCAAGAGCTGATTTTAATCAAAATTCAAGACTATAACTGGCTCTTGATTGCCTCCGGAAAAAAAAAATCAGCAAATTCAGAGCAGAACAATGCTTGGTAATAATCAAAAATTGTTATAATAGGCTATGTAGGATCTGCTAATGATCAACAATCATATTTACTTGAAAACTGGAAAATTTCTGAAATCGTGACAGGGCCATAATGAAGATTTTATGTGTTTTGAAACGATTCATGGTATAGAAAAATTTGCTGTATCGGACTTAGTTGAAGGTGGATAGAAACCTCAAAATAAAATTCATAAGGGATCCAAGCCAGAAAAGGAAAACTTCTCCCAAGATAATTGACAATATTTTTCTTATTCTGTTACCGCAATTTTACAACGAGTTTGCTTCATTTTCCATTAAAACATATTTTTTGCTTTCAGGACTTGAAACCTGGCCAAGAATATTCAGTTTCCCTTCAAGTGCATTTAGACGAATTACAAGGATACGCTACAGATCCAATCAAATTTACTACACCGCCATGCGAACCGGATCAACCTCAACCGCCCAAATTAGGAACCAAAACGAAAAATTCTTTACAACTTAGGTAAGAAGAATCTGAACTAGTTTATTATCTATCATTATTACTATGACAAGGACTGCTTTTTTTGACTCGAATCGCATTGTGATTTCGTAGTTGATAACTTTTGCAGGGATTTGCAAATTCAGGATTAGGTTGAACATAAAACTCAGTTGTATTCTTGCAAGTTTCATCTTTTCTTCCTTCATCTGCAACTTATTTTTCCCTCATGTTTATAGTAAAAGTGAAAAGAACAGCCTCATGATCCGATAGCCTTCTAGAAATAACATCAATCTCAACTTCCTCCTTTCTGTTTAAGCTCTTTTCAGTCCCAAAAATTTGCTTTAAGGTTCATCATTATCTGGTGGTTTGATGTGTAAACTTAATTATCCAGAAAATCATTTGAAAATGCTGTATTCGCGTCTCATCCAACTTGTCTTATTTACTTGAGATCTATTGAAAGTCGTAGATTAAGATAACATAACTCTAACTGTAAACTGGTCATCCTTTATTATTCAAAATCTTACAATCTCGCTCCTATATGCGTTTCACACAAATATGTACAGTTATACCAGGGGTAAACAAATTCCAATTCCCAGGTGGAGTCCTGTGAACGACAACGGCGCTAGAATCCTATTCTACATTCTCGAATCCGACTCGGGCAAAGGCGGCGAATTCGAAGAGGTCCACAAAAGCAGAAGTCGCACCCAATTCAACCTGCAAAAACTCCAGCCCGCTACCTCCTACAAATTCCGATTGGCAGTGGTCAACGAAGTGGGCAAAAGCGCCTACTCGGATTCTGTGATTTACCGGACAACGGACAATCCTCCGACTCAACCCGATCCTCCTACTCTGGTAGAGGCCACCGTTTCCACGCTGCACCTGAAATGGAACCACCGGCCCAAAGACGAAGAGTACACTTTGCAAATGAACGACCTAAAGACCAAATATGGTCACATGAATATTTACAACGGAAGAGATACGTCCTATGTATGTCAAAGGCTCACCTGTTATAGTGATTATACTTTTAGGTAATTATTCTTCATTTAATTATTGGAGTTTGAAATTTCAATATTTTCTTTAGGTTAAAAGCAACTAATGAGGGTGGTACCTCACCATGGAGCGAAGAAGTGACATTGAAGACAAAGCCAGATAGGCCTGATAGGCCTTCCAAACCAGTGGTTAAAGGTCGGATACATGCTTATTCCTTTAGGTTAAAATGGGAACCTCCCAGTAACTCTGGAGGAGCTGAAATTACTAAGTAAGACTCATTTTCAGTTGAAATTGCAGCTGTTTTAATACAATCCTTTACAGATACATTCTAGAAGTCAATTCTGGCAGCGGCTATGAACAAGTTTACTCTGGCCCTGAAACCGAAGCTGTTTGTGATCGTTTAACCCCAGGCACTACTTACCAATTAAGAGTCAGTTGTGCTTCTGCTGGTAAGAATTTTTTATTCTAGATGTTAAAAAATAAATAATTTAATTTTGAAATTCCAGGTGGTCAAAGTGTTCCATCTGACCCCTGTACAGTAACCACTGAAGCAATCGGCCCGGGCACCTGCAGTATTCCCAAATTAGCGGGCAAACCAAAGCCGGATTCGTTAACTATCCGATGGACGGAACCGGAGTATAACGGTGGCGCCCCGGTTTTAGACTACGAAGTCGAAATGACCAATCCCGATTCCAGTCGACTTTTAGTCCACAAAAGCAAAGATACCGAGTGCACGGTGTCTGAGGGCATCATTCCAGGTCAAGAGTATGCATTTGCAGTGAGAGCCGTCAATAGGATATGTGCTGGTACTTGGTCAGAAACCCTAAAAGTAATATCGGGTGCCGCTCCGCCCGGTTCCCCGGATCAAATTAATTTGACGTGCCGATCTCCGTTCCACGTGAGCATAGAATGGAGAGAACCTGTAAGCAATGGCGCTCCTGTTAACGAATATAGATTGGAAATGAATCAAGATTCGCCTGACGACCCTAGCCAATTTTCCAATATTTATCAGGGACCTCATACCAGTTACGAGGCCAAAAACTTAACGCCTTTTAGGACCTACTTTTTCAGGGTGCAAGCTTCGAATTCTGCTGGTAAGAATCACAATTTATTTTTATTTTTATTTTTTCAAATTCTATACCTATTTTGTTTCAGGTCCAGGTCCGTATTCTCCTATAGCAGCCACTGTTACACCAGCAGCACCACCATCTGCAGTTTCAATTTTAAGAAGTGAAGCCACTCCTACTAACATCGCTCTATGGTGGGCCGAGCCAAATGCAAATGGTGCCGAAATTACCAGCTACAACATTGATTTGGGCGATAGAGTTATTGAAACTGAGGGGCCAATAACTGAGTATCTTTTGGAAAACTTGCTACCTGAAGTGCAGTATAAGGTAAGTCATTTTGGTTTTGGTACAAGAATTATTATTGATTTATATTTTTTGTTAGATTAAAATCCAAGCAGTAAACGCAGTAGGAGCGGGTAGTTTCTCGTCGACATGGAGAACTTCGACTTTAAGATTACCGCCTTCGGCTCCTGCATTGGAATGTGTAGGCACTGGGCATAATTATCTCAAACTCAAATGGGGAGAAGGTAATTTTCGAATAATATTGAAACAGAATTGCTGTATTTGTTTTGTTGTAGGTAAAAACTTGGATTTCACCCAATTTTCTGTTGAAATGGAAAATTTAAGAACAAAGGAATGGCAGTGCGTCTATAGAGGAACCGCGCTTACCTGCAAAGTCAATAAATTACACGAATTAACGGCCTATAGATTTAGGTAAGAAATATTTTTTTGTGTTGATAATTCCTATGTAGTTACAGGGTGGAAACATTACATTAATCCTCATATCATTTCCAGGATAAATGCCAACAACGACGCTGGAGTAGGCGACTTTTCCGAAGAGTACGAGTACAGCACAAACATTGCGCCGCCAGCGGCCCTCAAACTGCCCAAAATGGTAGAAGTGGACCAGAGAACCTGCACCATCGAGTGGATCGCCTCTAAAAATTCCTTTAGCAATCCTATCGTTTATCACGTGCAAGTTGCCAGGCTAAAGGAACAAGTTTACAAACAGGTAAGAACGATATATTATTAGTAGGTAGCTTTTTGATGTTTCATTACTTACCAAATGATACTGACAAAAATTGATGCGACCATAAGTCTTGTGTGAGAAGGAAAGAATTAAATATTCGTTTTCACACTCTGCGTACAAGGGTGCAGTTAAGTTCAGATAGGTTTCGATCCAGTCTATTCTTGGACATGTTTTTGTTAGGCGCGTTTATAGGATCCTGGTTTGATGCATTCCACCGGTATACTACGCGGTTGAATCAGAAGTTTTTTCTTAACGCTAAGGATGTTTTCTCTTTCTTGAGCTTCTTGTCGTGTCCTCTGAGGTTTTTATTCATGTTTTGTTAGAAAATGTCTGCCATATGCAGTTCTGGGAAGTAGTGTCCACACAGGATCTTATAGATCTCCTTCAAGTCACCTCTTTCTCTTCTTTCTTTCAGAGTTGTCAAGTTAAATCTTTGCAATCTGATATCATATTGAACATTATACATTTCAGTTGGGATCTTGTGATTCTTCGTTGCACACGTTCAAGCAGCTCTATATCCTTGCAGTAGTACGTGTTCCAGACTGTGTGTGCTCACTCAAGTTTGGGCCTTATGTAGGTTGTATAGACTTTTTTGATCATTTGGATAGAGTGGTTTGTAAAAGCCGTTTTTACTAGGTACACCAACTGATTTGCTTTCTTCACAACTCGGCCTATGAGTGTTTCCCATTTAAGATCTTGGCTGACGTGCACGCCCAAATGTTTTTATTGGTTAACATTCTCTAGCTTGGTTCCCTTAATTTTGTAGTCAATTATTTTGTCCTACATGCAACACTGTACATTTCTGTTCAGTCAGATTCACCTGCCACGTGTCAGTCCATTGTTCGATTGTACTGAGGTCCTCTTTAAACCGATCCAATTGCTTCAATGGGTTGCAGAAGAGTTTTTTGTCATCTGCAAAGGATACCGAGTTACTTTTTAAACTTTTGGTTAGATCTGCTATATAGATTATGGAGAGGATAGAAGCCAACACTGATCCCTGCGGCACACCGCTGATTACGGGATGTAGTTCTGAACAGATTTTAATGACCCTGACTGCGTATTTTCTACATTTAAGAAAGGAGTCACTCCATCGAAGATAGGAGCCTCTAATGCTGTAGTGGTCTAGTTTGTGGAGAAGTCTTTCATGTGGAACGGTGTCGAAAGCCTTTCGAAAGTCGAGATACACTTTATCTACTGGGTTGCCTTCATCAACTTCTTTGGTCCAATAATTTACACAATTCAAGAGGTTGGTGGTGGTTGATCTTTGTGGTAGAAGTCCGTATTGTGACGGTGGAATAATAGAACTTTCCAGTAGAAAACTTGTGATATCTTTTGCAAGTATTTTTTCTATTACTTTACAGAGTGTGCATGTCAGGCTTACTGGTCGGTAGTTTGTAAAATGATGTTTGTCTCCGCTCTTAAAAATTGGGCGTATGATAACCTGGGTCTAAATTTTTGGTAGGATGCCTTCTGTTAGCGAGCTGTTAGGGAGTTATTAGGGATTCCGCACATCTTGTTAGGAAAATGGCAGGTATTCCGTCAGGTCCCGGACTCGAGTAGGTCTTTAGCTCCTTTAGCACCTCGTATACTTCTTCAGGTGTGATAGTATTGTTGTTGTTTATTTGATTTGGGTTACGTGTTTGGTCTGGCATCATGGGAAAATTGCGGAAGAATTCTTTGGTGAAAACAGATTCAAACTGGTTGGCAAAGGCCTCTGCCGTTTTGCTGGGTTCTTCAATTATTCGTTGATTTACTATGGGTTTTTCAATACTACGTCGTGTAGTTAACTATTGAGGTTTCTTTTTATGTAAGAGTAAAAGTGCTTATCGTTCTTTTCTAGAATGTCTTGTTCATATTTGAGTCTTGCCTTCTTGATCATAGACCTCAGTTTGTTGTTGTGTGTCCTATATGTTATATAGTTTTGGTCTGATTTTTGTTTTTTATATTTGTCGCATAATTTCCTCTTGAGGTCAATTTCTTTGAGAATGAATATTCAACCAAGGTTTTTGGACGTTGGTCCGGCATAGTTTCTCAGGTAAGAAAATATCTATTGTTGTCAAAATGCTTCCAAATTCTTCGTAATTCTTGACACTGGGTTCGATATCTCCTGCTAAGTTCTTGATATATTCATTATTGGGTTCGTAGTTAGCAATGTGAAAGTTTCGCTTTTTTATTTTCTTTGTTGTATTTTGTTTTAATCTCAGCTGCACTACACTCGCAATACTTATGTGATCACTTTTCTCAAGTGGTGCTTTAGCCTCTATCAGTGACATCATTTTGTCGCTTGTTAGGAAAAGATTCAGTAGAGAACTTTGATTGTTTCTAAATCTTGTATCAAAGGTTACAACTTGATGATATGACCATTTTTTGTAACACATTAGAAAATCGGTGGCTTTTTGACATGGTTTATTCAATCTTAGAGATCTCCAACAAATCTCTGGGTTGTTGACATCGCCGCTCACAAATACTTCGTCATACTCCTCAAAAACTTTCTGTAGTAGATTGTGAAGAAGTGTATTTTCATCGTAGGTGGTTGTTCCTGGTCTATAGATACATCCCAATAGAAAATTTTTATCTGATATTTTTACATCCAAAAACAAAGTGTCCACAGTTCCATTTATTATGTATTTAGTGTTAAGAGTGTTCTTAATTTTGCAACCGTTTGTTTCGGATGCTGCATATACGCATACGCCTCCGCTGTAGGCTACTGTCAGCCCTAAACAGGTTGTATCCTGGCATAGAGATCAAAGTGTCTGGTATATCTTTGTTGAGCCATGTCTCCGTAATTAGTAGGAACATTGGTTTTTCTTTGGCAATCAGTGCATGGATTTCTTGTAGTTTGAGACGAATGAATGAAATGTTTGTGTAATAGAATGTTATGTCTGTAAGCGGACTTCTTAGTTTTTTTGTTAGGTTTGATGGTTAGATTTGTGGTTAACTTTACTTGCTTTGGCACTCCACCAATGTATTTTAGTTCAAGATTTGGTTCATTTGGTTTTCTGGTTTCCAGTTCGTTGAGAAGATGCTTTAAATATTCGCTCTGCATTGAAGTAAGGTCAGGCTTGATATACTGTCTTGTTCCTTCTAAAGGGCCCCATACACGACGGTTTTCATCACCGCGATGAAACACGTCGTTCCAAAACCGAAGTGTGTGGTAGAAAAACACGATGGTTTTCTACCACACACTTCGGTTTTGGAACGACGTGTTTCATCGTGGCTATGAGAACCGACGAGAAAGAACGTAGTGTATGGGGCCCTTAACTTAAATTTTAGCTTGAGAATATTTATCACTTCAGTTTTTGTTGCCAAGGACACTTTAATTGGCCTTTTTTTAGTTTGATCAAACCTACCAAGTCTTAAAACTCCTCAAAAATCAATTCAAACTATTTGAGAAATACTAGTGAAGCTTTGTATTTGTCTGGAAGTGGTCTACAGTCTACACCTTTTCCAATTGTATTTCAGAAGCTGTCAAATGTATTTCAAAAAGTGAAAATTCCGCGGAAATAATTCAGGAGGGAGGCGACACTAAAAATTACCTACCTATGTCTGTGCAGTTCTTCCTACGTGATCTCGACTGACCCAACAGGAGCTTAATAGTAGCATTTAACTATTCTGAAATTCATTAAACACTTTCTAAAATATATTTAACTATTCTAAAATACATTTAACTATTCTGAAATACATTTAACTATTCTGAAATACATTTGACGCTTTCTGAAATACATTTAACTATTCTAAAATACATTTGACGCTTTTTGAACTACATTTGACTATTCTGAAATACATTTGACACCTTCTGAAATACAATTGGAAAAGGTGTAGAAATCTCAATTTTTTCATAAAAACCCTCTAGAGAGCTGTGTATAGAAATTGAAATGTTGAAAATTTTAACTGATTGTTTATATATAACAAGATAAAACCCATATTTCCCGTCAATAACTGAAGAGAACAATATAGTTACATGATTCTCAAAAACTTTGGGATTTATAGATAATTTTTGATATCCTCTTTTTCCCATATACGGATCACTAAGCTAATTCTCCAAACAAAAGAAAGATTTGTACTAAACTGAAATAGAACCAAATTTTCATAATGCTTGAAACAGGAATTCAAGAGCCTAGAGGCTGGAGTGAGAAAAGTTTGGAACTAAAAAAAGAAATATTGTCCAGAATATTTTTGAATTTTCACGACTTTTCCTATTCCAAGCTCTTGAATTTATTCCCTAATTCCAGCTGCCGGATTCTATTTTACGAGTTGAGTCGAAATTCGTATCGAATTGTCAAAATAGCGATTCTATTTTTCGTCCGGAGCAGTCGCAAAGGTTTTGAGTTTTCTTGTAATTTTTCTTGGCTCTATAGGTTTCTGGGATCTTCAGTTTTTTTTTTGCTTTTCTATTGCCTCTTGCATTTCTTATTATTTTTTTATTCCAGGCTCTTGAATTTTCCTTATAGGAAGTTGTACTATTCAGAATCCAGGCTCTCTTTTTTTACCAGTTCTTAATTCTGGATTTATGTTTTTCTTCTAGAGTGAATTTTTGTTGTTTTTGATGTTTTTATCTTAAAGAAAATAAAAATCCAAGAGCCTAGAGCCTGGAATTAGAAAAGGTGACATCTTTTTTTTCGTATTACTTCATTTCAGGCTTTAAAACGTTCCTCTTTTCCAGGCTTTTGTATTTTCTTGATTTTTCTTGGCCCTTTGAAGTTTCCTACACTTTTTATGTTTTTCTTGCAGAATGCATTTTCTGTGTTTTTATTTGGAATAAAACAAACATTCAAAAAAATCTCTTATCTCTGAAAATTCAAAAGTCTTTAGATTTTTTGGCGACTTTAGAACCTTCAAAGATTTAAGTCCTAAGTAGAGTAAATCTTCAAAGTATTCATTGTGGACAAGTTACTGGGAAGTTTTTTTTTTGAGTTGTGGTAATATCCAAAATGAATTGAGGAATATAACGATAAGTTATACTTATAAAAGTATAACTTATCGTTACATGGTGTCAGAAATAACGAATTCAGCATAAATAAATATGAAAGAACCAACAAATAACTAATTTGGAGTTATTGGTGTAAGTCCTCCAAAGCACCTTGTTTTAAACTCCGAAAATATGGCAAGAGAATAGAAAAATTGGATACAACAGTTCAAATGGTACGCTACAGCTACACAATTATCGAAGGAACCCAAAGAAGTTCAAGCAGCTACATTTATGGCTACTATTAGCCCAGATGCTGTAGAAATATTCAATAATTATGGATTATCTATTATGGATATTAGCGTTATGAAGGGTAAATTTGAAGAATATTTTTTCCCTAAACTACTTAAATGTTTCTTTTGAAAGATATGAATTTTTCCAAATTGTCCAAAAAGAGGACGAAAGTTTTGATGAATTCCTTATAAATATTAAAACTCATGCGAAAACCGGTGAATTGGGTCAACTACATGATAATCTTCTAACATTGTTTTTGGAGGAAAATCTGATAAAGTGCGTGAAAAATTGCTAACTGAAGAGCGCCTCGATTTAAATAAAGCAGTTACCATTTGCAAAGCAAGTGAACAAGCAGCAAAACAAATGAAAGAAATAGACACTACAGAGACGAATCAGGTCGATGTATTAAAACACCAAAATAAAAGAAACAGTGATCGCGAAGATTTCTATTGCAGGAGATACGAAACCAAACATTAGAAAAAAAAAGTGTCCATCTTATAAACAAAAATGTGAATATTGTAAGAAAACAGGACATTAGCAACTGTTGGTTAAAAAAGAAAAAAGTCAACACATTAGATGAAGACGAAGATGGAATAAATACAGTGCTTTTCGTTCATTCACTCAATACTAAAAAAGATAGCGGCTGGTATGAAACCATAACAGGAAAAAATTATGCACTTTTGGTAAAGCTCGATATATTGGAGCCCAATGTAATGTTCTACTAAAGCGGCTTATTGATAAACTAAAATTGCAGTTAAAACCTTCTAAAACTAAAACTTTGGTTAGCTATACAAATGACGAAATAGCTGTAATGGGTGAAGCACAAGTGAAATGTCATATTGATAAAACCTAGTAGAAATAATATTTAAGATAGTCAATGAAGAGGTGCAGCCCATTCTAGAAAGAAAATCCTGTCACGAGCTAGATTTAATTTGTATGTGTACATTCCTGCGAGACAACAAAGTTCAATGATAGCATTTTTCAAGGATTGGATTGTTTAAAAAATTATGAATACACTATCGATTTCATAGAAAATCCAAAGTTTGAAATAAGGCCTGCAAGAAAAATATCCTTTGCCATACGAGATGAAGTGAAAAGAGAATTGGAAAATATGGTTAAGTTAGGTGTCATTAAGCCCGTCACAGAACCTACTCCTGCAGTCAGTCCGTTAGTAACTGTTATAGGCAAAAAGGGAAATTAAGAATCTGCATAGATCCTACAGATGTTAACAAAAACATTTTTAGAAGACATTATCCACTGGAAGAAATTTCAGCACAATACGTGGAGCCAAATATTTTACACTTTTAAATTGCAAACGAGGGTTTTGGCAAATAAGTAAACGTTGCAGAGCAGGCTCAAAACAAAAATATCTCACGATTTCAACACAGTTGGGGCGTTATAATTGCACTCGTCTACCATTTGGAATCTGTTCAGCACCAGAGGTATTTCAAAAAATAATGAGTCCCTTATTAAAAAACATTCCAAACAGTCACTGCTCAATGGACGATATTCTTATTTATTCCGACTCCCAGGAAAGTGTAGAAAAAATTACTAAAAAATTAATGGAAACATTGGAAAATTTTGGATTGAAGCTCAAAAAGGAAAAATGCATTTAGAATGTTAAAAGAATTAAGTTTTTCGGACATATTTTGCCGGAAAATGCTATTGAAATTGATGATACCAAGGTGGAAGCTATCAAAAACTTAAAAACACCAACAAATATAACAGAACTACAAAGGGTGCTAGGCGTGATAACGTATTTGAATAAATTCATACCAAATATGTCTGAGCTTACAGATCCTTTGCGAAAGCTTCTAAAAAGGAATGTTGAATTTATGTGGGACATAGAACAATACGAAGCTTTCAACAAAATAAAGGTACAGTTGACTAGTGCACCTGTCCTGAAATTTTATGATGTAAACAAGGATGCTACATTACCAGTAGATGCTAGTTAGAAAAATTTAGGAGCTGCCTTGATGCAAGAAAATCAACCCATTGCATATGCTACTAGATCATTGACACCGTCACAGAAAAATTGGCCTCAAATTGAGAAAGAAGCGTATGCAATAAAATTTGGATGTGATAAATTTCATCAATATACATATGGCAAGAAACTCACAATAGAAACAGACCATAAGCCATTAGAAGCTATTTTCAAAAAACCTATTCACTTTGCGCCACCTAGGCTACAACGAATATTATTGTAAGTATCACAGTATTCACCCAAAATAATATACAAAAAAGGTAAAGATATACCTTTAGCAGATATTTTAAGTAGGGATAGTGAAGAAACTGGAGAAAATCTAGAAAACGAGGAAAAATAAGAAATACTAAAATTGTCCTTTCTATGACCGAGAATGCCAAGAAAGAATTAATAGAAGCTACAAAATTGGATGCTGAACTGCAATTACTATGAAAGTTCATATTAAACGGATTTCCAAATTCAGATGATATAGCCAAAAATACAGTAGACTCGCGCTAGTGTGAACACAAAAAAAACCGGACGTGTTCATATTATCGAGATTTTCACACCATCGAAGGTCTACCTAAAAATTCAGTCAGCAATGGACTCTAAACTTGAAATTCAAGAAAAATTAATACAATAGGTACTTGCAAACATATCCATTAAGTAAATTTTCCCAGTTTATTGATTAAAGGAGATGTAATTTTTGTATGAATGGTTCTATCTGACCACTAGATGGCTACCTATTTTGTCTTGAAAGTTTCTTAGGCTTTCTGTGTTATTAACGCCAATATATGCTCTTGCCTTGCTGGCAATCTTCTATGATTTTTGATTTCTCATAAGGTCCGTTCTCACAAAAGTCCACTTTATTCTCAACTAAGTTACTGAAGGATCTTGGAACGACTGCAAACTGTCAGAGACTCTTGTAGAAACAGACCCATGAAGAGTTCAAAAAACTGGGTTGTATGCCATTTTCACAAAACTGATCATGTCTCTGGATCAACCACAACAAACAACCAACTAAAAACTATAGACTTTTAAACGTGCTCTTGACGCGTTGCCACTTGTTTATTACATGAGTATTTCACATTAGAGTGAATGCAGTGACTTAATATATCTGTGAATTCCTTGTCTCGAAACATTCGGGGAGCCCTAGAATTGGACGGAAATAACCGATGAAAACAAAAAGTAAGCAGAAAATGATTGAATTTGTGGTCAAAAACATTGTTCATACTACCGAGATTCTCAAAAGTTCACACTACAGAATATATAATGTATTCATTCTGGCTGTTCATACTACTGGGAGGTTCACAGAACCAAAGTACTCACTTTATGCACTATTGCGAAGACGTTAAATTTTACTTCACACACTAGTGCGTAAAGTAATGTCAATGACAGATGTCGACACTGTCAATTTAGTATTTTTCTCTTTTTGGTAAAAAAAAAGTTCACTTAACACACTTGTTTCTGCTATTTAATAAGACATAATTTTTAAATACCTAATCAAATTTTTACAGAAATTTGCCTGTATTTCCGAAACCTTACTATTTAGGTATAGGAACATGATACATCATTTGTAAGGGATTTTAATTGCCTTTCATAATATTTCATAATATACAGGGTGTTCTATTTGAAAAAGTGCATTTTCATCTTTTTTGTACCTGGCAGCACAATTACTAATTTTGATCAACCCCGTATAATGTAGAACAAATTTGCTTGCTCAAAAGTAATATGCAGGACCTCCCGAAGTTATCTCCAAAATTTAAACTTTCTACGAATCTCAGGGACGTAGTAATACAAATTTAACTAAAGATATGTTTTGAAGAAAAAATAAAGAAATTATTTAATAAGTCGAAAATCACTAGAGATAGGTATAGGACAGTATTATACAAAAATCATCAGAAAGTAATAGAGGAGCGAAAAAGGCAATAATATACAGGGTGTCTCATTTAAAATTTCAAAGTTCATATTACTTTTTGTTATAAGCGGCAACGTCGCATCGTTGAAATTATTTTAGAATGATAGATCAGAAGCAATTACTTGGGCATGCAAATTTTCAAAAATATCCAACATTCCGTTTTCCATAAACATCTAACCTACCATCGACCATCAATCACCCTGTATATTAGAAGACAAACATCCTTGATTAAACTAATTTTTTTTTTCTCTTTAGGTTCATCGTGGTTCTGATACCAAATGTACCATCGAAGACTTGGAACCCGGCGTCGAGTACTCGGCTCGCGTCTGTCCCGTTCGCATAACTTCGACCGGTGAGCTCACCGGGCCCTATTCGCCCCCGTTAAATTTCACCACAATTTCCGGAGACGTTTCGGCCGTCACAAAACTGACACCCAGCAATTCGACTCCGACGCACTCGCAAAAGAACCGAAACGTCGCCTTTTGGCACGGCACTTCCATGAAAAAGTTCTACAGACAGAATTTGGTGTGGATCTGGGCGTTTTTGTTAACGGTTATCGGGGTAGTGATTTCCATGGGTATTGGTTCGTTTTTGTAGTAGGTTGATCTTTTTTTATGATTGGGCGCTTAGTTTAGGAATTAAATATTGTTTGAATCTTTGTTAGTAGGGCTTCAAGAATAGTAAATTAATTCCAAAATTGTGCCAAATTGTTTTTTAAAAATGTGCTCTCTTGTTGTGTACAAATTTTTGTAGGTTTTCATGTTTCTAATTTATTACAGAAAAAGTGTTTGCTTAATATGTTTGTTGTTGTATTCTGTCTTGCTTTGAAAATATATTTAAAATATCTTGGGAATATTAAATAAAACAATTATTTTAAAATTCTCTAATATATTTTATAAACAAAAAATGTATTTTATAATGTATGTGTTGTCATTTTTGTTTTACTATTCTTGATGCCCTGCGATGATTTGAATAAAGAAACTAAAATCAAAAATAAATTAATTGAAACTTTATAGGAATTTATATTATCAATTAATCAAGCAAAGAGTATTATTTTTAAAAAAACAGGGCTTTTTATTATATTGTGAAATGTTGTTTTTAGGTGTAATATAAAAAATTATAGTCAAATTATATGGTTTTTTTCTTTTGTCAAAAATCTATATTTGATAAGAAACAAATATCGTGTTTCAATTTTTTCATTCAATTTCTGAGGTAATCCTAAAATGCTTACAATTGTCATTGTAAAATCTTAGGTAAATGTTATTATTCATTATGAATTTTTTTAAATTTTTCTATGTATGTTTTCACAGTATTGCAAAAATCAAACTTCACCCAAACTATTAACAATATAAATATTCTTATAATTTTATGTTTTTTAGTTTGAAAAGTTTTCTTAAAACACTCGCTATGTGTATAGATTTTTATCAAAATAAAAAATACTTATTGAAATATAATAATAATGGGAGTTAAATTCTAAACTAGGAACCGAGATGTCCGCAAAATGGACCATTTTTTAATATTTTTTTTTTTATACGTGTCCGTACTTTTTTTGAGTGGTGCTAAACAATTTAACGATGTGATGTTTGCTGCTGTACAGGGTGTTATATTTTTTTTTTTGTTTCCATAGCTGTTTAAGGCCAAGGGCTAATTGCAAGAGATTATTTTTCTATATATTACACTGGAATTTAAAAAAAATGTAGAAATATATAGTGTCGCTAAAAAAATTGTTATATTGTTTTTATTTGTGTTTTCTGAAATTTTTTAGGAGAAATAGAATACCCTGTGCTGTGTGTTGTTATTCCAGTCATCCTGTACATTTTTTATAGGAATATAAAAATGTGGTTGGCGGTATTAATAAATTATTATTATAAATAAATTATAGGAAAAATAAACGTATTTTTTAAGTGGCTGGAACGCATGTACCTATAGAAATATTATTATTTTTTTTGATTATTAATTATTATATAATTTTATATTATATGGAGTCGCGCAAACTGGTTTTCAAAAAAAAAAAAAAAATTGTCAAAAGAAAATTAAACAATCTCGCGGTTACTGATTAAATTAAATTTTTGAGATTTTTAGGTTTAATAAACTTTTGCGTGGCTTTGTACTTTTTATTGCAATTATTGTATAATAAAAATAGGACGAAATATTTAAAAAAAAAAAACAAGAAAAAAATATAATTATATACAGTTAATCCTAAAAAATATGATCTAATCTATTATTGATATATTATTATTGGGACTTGTGAAGTGCTCCAAGCATTAATTGCAAGAGATATATTAATATATTATGCTATAAGAAAATACATATTCTATAAATAAATCAATTATATATTTTATGTACTAAATTTTTAATTGTTTTATTTTATCTTCCTGAATATAAGAGAAAATTGCTCTACCATGATCAGAAAATATGTCTAGTCGTAATGGACATACTTATTAGCTACTACAAATCAGAGAATTAAGTAGGTATTGAAACAGAAAATAAGTTACTAATGAGCGGTATACTGAAGTTACGTAAAAAAATAGGCCGGCTAATCTGTGGGTATGGATAATACGTCTGGCAAGTGTCTGAGACAAGCCAAATTGCTATTTTCATATACTTTACGTTCTATTGTAATAAATGTGAAATATTTATAACTAGAATAATAATAGTGCACTTATATTTTTCATTGATCTTGTGAACCCATCCAAAAATTTTAGCCATACTCAAAAATGCTTGTTTGGTATTTGGTATCACCAAGAGAACAAACTATTTAATATACACCAACTAGGAAAATGGGAACTAAAAAATTTCACTGCCTCCTGGACTATAATGTTTTTCTAATTATAGAAACTTCAGCATCCATATCAAATGTAATTGTTTTAAATTCTCCATTAATTTGTCCTTCGAATTTTTATACTCCATGATGACCACCCAATGATTTTATGTAAACAACCTTGGGGCGGGTTTCATCATTACTAACCAGCCTTCGTCCCTCTATACTGGTTGGTTCCTGTCTGTTATTCGCGTCTCTAGATCTTGAAACATGTTGAGAACGATTCCTAGATAAAAAGGACATCCTTACTCTACAACCCCATTGCATATGTCCAAGCTTATTTTCCGTTCGTCTACCTTTTAGTAATAGTTTCTTTATTTTCTCTATGAAATTACTCATAACATTCTCGAAGCTACCCTCCTCTTTTGACGATTGTTTATCCTTTGGATCTTCAATGGACACTGCTCGTATTCTGGGTCGTGAGGCTCCAAAGATAGCTCAGGTTTTCCTGGATCTTAAAATCTCTGACACCATCAATAAACGCAGATACTGCCATTCATTCCTGCATGTCTTCCCCAGCTGCAGGAAACGACAAACTCACTAGCTTTTCAACTTCCGATTCGAATTCTTGTAAACTCTCGCCAGGTTTTTGAATTCTTGATTTAACTTGAGTTCTAAATAGCTCTTGTCTGTAATGGTTTACGAAGCGCACTTCTAACGTCTGACTTAGATGCTGGTAAAGGCCGGGACACATCTATTATGCATTCTTCCGATCCGACTCCGATCATACAATCAAGGTCCTTATTCTTGGAACCGGGGAGCAACGGAACACTCGTTCTCCTGGAAACGCAGCTCCGTGTGTTCCAAGAATAAGGACCCTGATTGTATGATCGGAGTCGGATCGGAAGAATGGATGATAGATGTGTCCCGGGCTTTATTCTGTTGGTAGATTGAAGGAATGTACTGAAGAAAATCTAAGGCAGGTCTTCGTAGCGCTACTATTAGTACTGTGGCTTTTTCTTAATCGTTCCATCCGTCAGTATTTACAGCAGCTTCAAATTGTCAGGTATACAGGGTCCAGGACGTAGAACCGTCAAAAGTTGGTGGTTTTATCTTCATACTAGAGAATGATTCTCCAACACTACCTGAACTGATGTACTGTATTATTTCTAATTTATTCATTATCTTCAAGTGCTTGAACTTGGTCCTGAATTTCATGTCTTAATTGCTGAACATCGGTTTTCACTTCCTGAACGTCTTTTTTTAACTTCTCGCACATCGTCTTCGACTTCTTGAACATCGTCTTTAACTTCTTGTCCTTAACTTCGGCTTCCACTTCCTTAATTTTTTGTTCTAGGTTAGCGACAGATTTTTGCATATTTTCCGCAGTTGTCCAATATCTTCTTGCCTTTCTTGTTTCTTGTTGTCATCGACCTCTTCTTCTTGTTTTTCTTGCTGTCGTTTTAGCTTCTTCTTGTTTTTCTTGTTGTCATTTAGCTTCTTCTTCTTGTTTTACTTTTAGTCGTCTGGCCTTTCCGTTTCCGTTTTTCTTTTTGTTGTTTAGCTTTTTCGTCTTGTTTTTCTTTTTCTCTCCTCACCTCGCTCCGCCTCTTCGACTTGTTTTTTTTTTTTGTTGTCGTTTAGCTTTTTATTCTTGTTTTTATTTTTGTTGCCTCGCCTCTTCGTCTGGTTTTTCTTTTTGTCGTTTGGTCGCTTGAAGTTCCAACATTTTGCACAGAATGTCTTCAATTTTTTGTTCTTCCATTTTTGCTTGTTGTCTCGTAATAAGCATGTACCTACAGATACAGAATACAGAATCTTCTGGAATTTTCCTCAAAATCTCTAAATATCTTTCCTGGTTTTTAATTTAAGTTTCAAACACTTCGGTAAAGTCACAAATTGGATAACTTGCCTTATTCTCGAATAGAATGTTCTTCAATTTTCTTGAAATTCCTTTTCTAAATGTCGATTGCTCGGTTGATTGATGTAAACATGTCGGTGAAGTCACAAATTTATCTTCCTTTGTTTCCGAATAATTTTTTTTGTACACCCGTTTCTAGGGCTTTCCAGATTTTTGCGACAATAGACAATATACAGTACGCACCCTTGAATAAATAGACAGTTTGGTGTTTTTTCGGAAAACTGATGACGGGAAAACTTTAAAACTTTTTGGGTGAAAAGAGGAAGAAAAGGAGTTTATCATACTGTGATGATCCAGAAATTTGACCCTATAATTACAAAGTCTTTACTGTAAAAATTTTAATTTTTATCAAATAATCAAAAACTTAATTCCGGTATTTTTAAATCTGTATCGATAAATTAAAAATAAAACCAACTAAACTATCGTATTACGACACCCGGAAGTCGTTCATCTAAATTAAATTCTTAAAAACTGATAAAACCGAGGTGGTGTCATCCTAAAATCCGATTCAATGATCTTTATTTAGCCAAGGCCTTTCCGTTTAACACACATTGAGTCGAATGAATTATGGATTCTTGAACCCAAAACATTTTGACCTCAATAAATCAGATTATTGCGACATAATTAATTGATTTTAGACTAAAAAATAATATAAAATTCCAAGGAAATTGCATCATCTTAATTGTCATGGACAAAGTGATTTAGGAGCATCAGGTTCATATAAATAGCGCAATTTTAGAAGGAGAGGATAGTTCCCAGTTGATAGTTGCCAGAACACAGTTGAGTCGTCCATTTGAGTTAAAGTCTGTCCAGTTTCGCGAAAAGTTACTTTTATGGCCTATGGCCTCGGGTATAAATTAACTTAGAAAATTTACGAAGAATCGTGAAAGTAATAACATTTTAAATTCGTTCAAATCAATTATGTGCGTGTAGCTAAATATTTTGAGTAGTTAATTAAATAATTTTACGTGTGTTTTATGGACAAAATGTAAGTACTTTATAGTGACAAGATTTATTTTGATGAACATGACTTTGTGTGAATTTTACTAGAAAACTTTTGATTTTTAATTTAACGGTGGAACTTTATTACAACGAAATTAATAACTTGAGTGTTTTATGAAGGAAACATTATCGCATAACTTTAATTACCTTCAGATATGATGACATTTAAATGTGCAACAAAAATATGAAGAGTACTTACAATGCATTTAACAATATTCAATTTTGAGTTGGAAATTATGAATTAAACAGTTGGATTTATTAGCTAGGCAGAGGAATCCGAAAATAGAATTTGCTCTGATAAACTATTAACTGCAATAGGAATGTTGTTAAAAAGGAAAATTATAATAGAATTTGTTCTGATTAAATAAACTAAGTAAAAGGAAATAGGATGTTTCGAAAATTAAACTTGTTCATGAAATAGAATTGTCTTAGAATATGGGAAAGCTGTTAAAAGAATTTATTGTCCATGAAATGAATTTTGAATTAGGGAGTTTATTTTACAAGTGGAAGTTATTGTAAGATTTTATGAGAATAAATTAGTTGTTAAACAGATAGGTAATTATTTTGGGTTTTTATAAGTAATGGACTTAGAGATTTTAAGGAATTAATTGACTAGGTAAAGGATAGTTATTAGGAATGATTCGGATGTAGTAAAATGAGTTGAATTAGAATTTTGAGAAATAGTATGAATAGGGCGTTTCTTATTTAGTAGGGATATTTCAGTGGTCCGTAAAATAACAATATAGAACGGATGTGAAGTATTGACTTTATAGAATTGAAGAAGGATGTAAAGTATTGAAAGATATTTGGCTGATATTTTTGAGTTTTATGTGAAATAAAATATAATTTAGTACACCTCCTTAGTTTGTTTCTCTCTCTTGCAAGTAGACCCTCTTCCACAGATTTTAGATAGCAAGCTCCAAGTATATAAACACCATCAATATACCGCTCGCCATTTACCATCTAACTAAATTACATAGAGTACTTGGGGCGAAATTGCTACATTGGTGTCAGGTGTGGGGTTGTCTATTATTTGTACATTGAGAGCAACTAAGAGGTTATTTTAACTGTATTGTGAAAGCAACGGTAGTAATTTTATTAGTTAAATTTGAGTTGACATTAAACAAGCGACGTTAAAAATGTCCAACCCTCCTAGCCCCGTACCACAATTCAACACCACCATGCCTAACCTTTTTATAGGATTAGATTCCATACCTACCTATGATGGAACTACTAGTGCTGAAGAATTTTTAAATGTCCTAGAAGAAACCAGTATTTTAGCTGACTGGACAGACACACAGAAAATTTCAGTAGCTCGATTGAAACTGAGATATCGAGCCAAGCAGTACATAGAGTCAGAACCAACCCTGAAGACCACAACAAGCTGGGCTCTACTCAAGGACAGTTTAAAAACTCAATTTGGCAGGCATTATGTGAAAGGGACCGCTATGAAGCAGTTCATTGAATGCAAGCAACGAACAGGTGAAGCTTGTAGACAGTACCTTACTAGATTGAAGGTATTAGAGCACCGGACCGCTACACTCACCGGAAATCCAGCAACAGATAAATTGCTGGAAGAGAAATTGCTCGGGGACATTGCTACACAATTTACTCTAGGATTGTTGATGCCGATTAAACAACGTGTCCTCTCAGGAAATCCAG